ATAGCCATTACTACAACGTAATATTTTCAAAAAGTAGTAGAAACACATGTGTAAAGATGAGAAGCAGAGGCAGTCTTCGGATTATTGAGGACCTTTAAATCACTCAGCCATCTTTTGGAGTCAGGGAGAGGTGTTCAAAATCTTGGGGTCCACGAAGTCAGGCTGATACATAAAGGGGATGGGGGCACGGCGATCGAAAGTTTAAGAACCGCTGTGTTAGAGGATTATTCTTCAAGGATTTATCGATCTTACACGATAGAGAAATATTAACAAGCCTGTGGCAAGCAGTCAAATACGAATATTCATCAAATTGTAAGCAATTATATATATATATATGTGTAAAATTAAATTTTTAAAATTTTATAATGTTATTCTGTAATTACAAAAATTACTCATGTATTTGAGATTAGCAATTCTCAGATATACCAGCTCCTTTTCAGTTGAATTTTTTATAAAAAAAAAATTGGATATCTTAAGCGAGACAATATTAGTCATATCACTATCTGGCTGAGTTAAAGAAACCCTCCCCTCTCCCCTTAGAAATTAAAGAGCCCTCAGTCATTTTGCAGAATATTCTCTTACGCAAGGAAGGTCAAAACTTAATCTTCAGGGCCGTTAAGAATTTCTAGGATTCTAAATATAAAATGATTTCATGTATATTAAAAACAATATAAAAATAAAACGAAAGTTATGAAGTCTCAGGTTCTTAATTAGGAATCAAATGCAGTTAATGCAGGAAAAACTTATCATTTGTAGATAAAGAATTTTCAATTTTGAATCTATTTTATTCATTACGTCTGCACAAGTCCACAACAAATACTTTAAATAGAGGGTTATTACTCTCCTATTTTTATCTACAACAAAAAAAAAGGGAATTTTTTTTATCAACCAGTAATCTTAAATGTTTTCAGCACGTTATCTTTGTTAATTGATCCCTGACTTTAGGTAATTAAGCCATCCTTGACCTCCAAGGATTAAAATTATGCAAGTCTTGAATAATAAAAACAGATTGAAATGAGGCATGGTAAGATAATATTGATTTCAGTTTTTTTTCAATTACACAATTTTTTGTTTGTTTGATAAAAGTAATGCACGTTTTTAATTTAGTAAAACTGCCATGGCAGCTCTACAATTTTAAAGTTTTAACTCAGTATAAATGTATTCTACTTTTATTTATGATACTATATTGACATATATAGGGATAACAACCTTTGTTGTTCCACACTCCACAAAAAATATTGCTATAAAATATATTTGATATAAAATTAAAAATAAGATAATAGTATTTTACAAATAGGTTCTGGTGATTTTAATAATCACCTGCTTTTTTTTTTAATGCAAAACTACGAAACATAATAATTACGTATTAATAGCGGGAATATTTGAACTTCAAAGTAGCAGCCTTGTTACTATAGCAAAAGGCACACCGTGTAGAGGGGTCGATGCACGTTTAATCTGTCAAGACTCTCCACATTGGTGTGGTGTGGTAGTTAGGAGAGGGGAGGGAGTGACAGTTCAGTGTCGTCCCCGTCACTTGACCAGAGGTTCAGAATTACGATGTCTGTCACCAATAATTCTCGTGTTGTTTTATAGTGCGCCTTTAATATAACTCTCTCTCTCTCTCTCTCCCTTGGTATATAGTTAACTCTTCCATTTGACAATTATACTCATTCATTAAAACAATCATTTTTACTCAGTATGGAGCCAGTGTTCAATATAACAACGTAAAAAATTTAAAATGGATGTAAAAAAGTTAGAACAAATCAACTCTTAATATCTATCATATTTCAGAAAATGAAACAGAAAACAAATGAATCGGCCTAGTATTTAAAAAAGCATGCTAATATCCATTAAAAGCTTTGAACGTTATTTGATATTTTCCAAAAAATAGTTTTTCATTCTTACTTAAACATAAACAAAACATGGAGACCGTCATCCTTATTAATTTTTTTTTTTAATGTACGATCTGAAATTTAAATAACTAAATGAAATGCATAAAAATTTCCCCATTTTCAGCATATTACCCCCTCAACACGCTTAGGTATAACTTGAAACAGTTATAACCAATTTATAAAGAAAAACTTAAAAAAGAAAGTTTTCTAAGCAAACAATTTAAATCTTATAAATATAAAACAAAACCTTTTATTTTTATTTTTAACAAAAACTCTTTAAAAAAATATTAAACCAAGAATTTGCAGCAGTTTAAAGTAGCTTTGAAGAAAAAGTAGACGTATGAACACTTTCAAATGATGAATTATAATTGATTCAGAACATAAGCATTCTTTTCATAAATTTCGTATTGGGTAACCTTTTCTAATTCCTTTGATGCGCATTGAAAAGAGCACAAAGAAATAAAAAATATCTTCAATAGAAACCACAAATTTTTTCTCTTTTTTTTTGTCATGAATATTTATTTCGCTAAATTTTCTACTGGCAAGATGCCAAAATAGTGGTCACCTGAGAAGCACGTGAGCCTATTTAAATACTTTTCCTTTCTTTACTTAATTATGACTGAGGTTAAAAGACAGGAATGTGTTTTGTTCTCTGAGATTCAAAAAGAAGATCGTATTTCGCTTAAAATATTAATATCCTAAAACATTGGAGAATTTCGGTGGCAATATATGTTGAGAAATCGTTGCTAATTTAGAAAAGATAATGCAAATTCTTTTGTGTACTTTTAATTCATTTCTTAGTTGTTAATTTCTGTTTCTCATATTTCTGCATTTAACATTGCTTAAAGATGAAAGGTGATTATTTAAAAGCATCAATAATGAAAGTCTGAAAGAGATTAGTTAAATTTATTATTACTTGAAGTTTATTAAGACACTTTATTAACTAATTGAAAATTGGTAACACATTAAAACCAAGCTATGTTATGTTTATACAAGAGGGAAAAACTATAATATATGTAAAAAAAAATGGCAAAAAGTTGAATTTACTTTTAAGTTACTTAAGAATTAGTAAGAAATTAGTAGTAAGAAATTAGTAATTTACTTACTATTTCTCATATAATGGAATTGTTAAGATAACACTCAGTTAAAAAATAATAATGTTATGAAGAACAATTGATCTTATAATTGTGTTTTGCCAATTGTTCTGAACTGGATTAGAATCTTAGTTTTGAATATCTTTCAATGAATGGATGATTTATAAAACTGAAGTCACATGTGACATGAGTATTCGATAATAGATTAATACAAAAATTCTGATGACAAGATGAATCGCGTTATTTAAGCTGCAGATGGGAAAAAAATAAACCTCCGCGATAAGCATTGCGAGAAAAAAAGTGAATAGTTTTTTAAACGTTTTCCGTAATATTTATTAAAATATAAAATTAAATAATGAAAATATTGAATATATATTAAACGTATGATCTCTCCGATAAATTTCTATTTACTCAATACTCTTCCTCTCAACAGTTTTAACGCACTAATAATCCAATCAAAGAACGCTCGAAAATTAAAAAAAAAGGTGCGAGAATGACCTGAATCATAAAAACAAACAATACATCCATCAGTTTTTCCTTTGATTTCTTCGACCTCCTAACAGAGTATGACACCTGTTAACAACAAGCTAAATGATATTCATTTAATAGCAGGTAGATTATGTACCTTACATTTGTTTCCATGATATAGAAGGTATTTCATTGGCGATGGAAAACTTCTGTGGTAACCCTATTTCATTCTGACCTACTTGTAGATTCTCTGACGTCGATGACCTGAGATGCCCTCTGGTGGTGGCGGACGTAATTCCTGGTTTGGGTTTTGATATTTAAAAGTTCCAACCAGGATTCAGACTTATGGTCTCCACTTTCGAAATGAGAGCAGTTCACTACGGGACAGGTTTCCCTTTATGTTTCTCTGGAACATTTTTTCCGACACCATTCAGGTTTCATATGGCGACAAAAAGTTTCCCTTTTATGTGGTGATAAATTATAACTTTTTCCTCAGAATGTTTGCATTTTTTGGAACATTTTTGTCCTTTTTTTTTATTTACGCCAGACGAACGACACCAATTAGTTTGGCCGATAAAAAATTTATTTTTAAAATTCTCATGGCGTTAAATGTAGTTTTCATTTTTCACGAAAAACATTCATTCGTTGTCTGGTATTTAGTTTGTTGGAATTATATATATGCTAATCAAATTAATTTCAATAAGCAAAATTTTGAATTTGATTAAATGCTATGTGAAATAAAATATTTCACGTTACACCTGAATTCTACTTATTCTCAAACAAACATTAAATAATATTATTCTTGAAAGAATTAGATTAAGAATTGTCTAACTTTTTGGTCATGGGAGCAATTTACCAAGGAAGTTATAACACTTTTATGAATACAATTTAGGAAAATTTTCTTCTAAAATTTATGTTAATTTAACTAAGTTTTTATGTCTAAACATGTTCTGGTAATTATATATATAATAATGAAAAATAAATCGAATGAAGCATAATTTAGAAAATTAAATACCTTGAAAACAACACAACAAAAGTTAAATGAAAGATTTAAATTGTAATATCCTTGATTTATTTTATATTAATTTATAATGTGACAATATGAAACATCTATTAAGATGCATTTTGAAAATTAAGTTTAAATATAGATAAAAGATAAAAAGCTCATGCAATATATAATAGTGTTCCTTTTTCAGCCGTTATGTATTTATGTACTATCGATAATTTTATTTTAAGTATCAATTGAACAAAAACAAGAAAAATAAAAAATAAAAATTAAGTTAATTCCTGCTTAGGTCAATAAAGAAAATTTTTATTTTAGTTATTTTTTATTAAATAGTACAATGAACATAAATATGTATATATACATATGACAGAATCAGAATATAAAGTGACAAAATAGAAAACGATTTTCCTAGCAATTTTATCCCTATATAGGGTGTTGGGCTATTTTTTTCTCGTTTATTTGTTATTGGTTATTCATTAATTAAACTGAATTATTCTAATAAAATAGTGTAGTAAAAAAGAAATCACATTCTCACAGAAATTAGGAGGGATTCAAACCCACGACCTTTGGATTGGAAGTACAGCACGCTATCCACTACGTTACAAGGACACAACGATTGAATTTCCTTTTTTGTGTATGCTATCGGACTATGATTTTTGTTTGTTATTATTTATTCATTTTTTAATTTAATTAATGAATCAATATTTGAAAAAACTGTATTAACATCAAGTGTCATCCACTACAAGTTTTAAAAAATGTATTTGAACTTGAAAGGATGAATAGAAAGTAATTTATTAACGATTGAAAATATGCCCTATATATAGGGAGGGAGAGAACTATAATAGTAGGAATTGAAGATAAATAAATAAATATGTAACTTATAATTTTAATTCAAATTAGATTCAAAAGCTCAATATTGAACATAAATTACAAAATTTCTCAAAAGTTCTAATGAAATGAGTATTTTGAAATGGAAATTTTATAGGCTGCATATTATAAGAAATAAAAATTTATATGTCATATTATCATTTCATAAATAACTTCGCATGAAACGTTCTATGTTAACTACGTCGTAAACTTACATTTGAAATATTAGATGAATTGCCATTTTTGTATTTAAAAAAGTTCTCTTGAAGATAAGAAGTATCTGTATGTAACCATTTATTTCAGAAACTTTCTAGCTGAGCGGTTTTTGACCTATTTATTTTTGCGGATCTTCTATGACCTTCTACAGCAAACATTTCTTTGTGTGTGATTCAGCAATTCCAATCTTTCTTTCTCTTGACGAGTGAAATTTAAATTCTGAACGTCCTTCAGAAATATAGATCAACTCACGATTCAGATGTATTTTATATCGATATTGATATCAAATAAACCAAATGAATATTCGAAATTATTTATTATAAGAACTTATAAAATTTCATCGTTTCCTAATAATGGTAAAAATATATAAAATGTTGCAAAATGCGTCAAAAGAAGAATTTGTTCATTTTAAATAAGTTAGAATGTGATCAAGATAAATATTTGATGAGGAAGAAGACATATGAATACCAATGAGTATTTTACATCTTTTAAAATGAACTGAAGAAAAAATTTATAATTCGAATAAATTAAAAGGAATAATAATTCAAATAAAAGGAAAACAAAAGTATATACGAATATGAATTTAAAAAAATTATCGTAGATAATATCTCTTAAAGTTTTTATTAATTACACTTTTTATGTGTTTTATAGTTTATTAATAGTAATCATATTAGAAGCAATTACTTCGCTGTGCACATATTAAAAAAATTGAAAACAGCTTTCCTCATTTCGAATATCCTTTAATCGCTAATTATGAGTCAATTATAGATGTTCCAGTAAATAAATCGGAATTATGAAAAGATACAGAAACATAGAAACATCAGGAAATGATACTTTATGTCTAATAATAATGTTAATTACTTTTACAGCCTTATTTAAGTTATGTTTGAGAAATACCAAACTGGTTAAAACCACCACGATATAAATTTCTTTCTTGATACGAATTTATGATCCAAGAGACAATAAATGAAACACAACTCAAAAGCGCAGCAAGTTTCGTAAATCTAAATTCCCTTTTTTTTTACCTAACAAATAAAAAAAAAAAATAGCTGTGATAAATATTACATATTCCCCCCCTTTTTTTCATCCATATCTTTAACAATCTCTTTCATAGGTTAAATTATAAAAGAGCTTCGTTCAGTAATTTAGAAATGATTTTGAATGAAAATAAAATATGATAAATCATTTCTCTAATCGTTCATCAACCCAGTTTTCTGTCGCATAGTACAATTTTTTGTTTTGTTCTTTGGAAATTAAAAGAATGCTTCATTTGAAAAAGACCAAAGTGAAAGTGATTAACATGATGCGCTAACTTTCGATAAATTTGTAATTTGTTCTGATACAGATACTAGAACTAATTTTCAAAAAAGTAAATAATTAAGTATTTTTCCCAACGTAAAAAATACATGAGTGAATTCCTTTTCTAATCTACGCATGTTATAGGGAAAAAAATATTTTTTTCTTTATAATCATAAATATTTAAGATTTCTTTTAATATTAATGCTAGTGAAAAAGAGGCCAAAAATCAGTAACAGTTGAATTTTGGCCCAATATTTCTTTCACTTTGAACTGAATTCAATTTTAGTTATTTGTGCTCACATTTTCATGTATGATAATTAGTCAGATACAAGAACGATATTTCGTATTCGAATACATCTAAAAAAATTACATAAATAAACATTTTTTTAATTGGAACTTCATTAGAAAAAATTTTAATTTATTTAGTTTTAAATAATTTTTTTTCACGTTTCACATTATAATTTAATTTTTGTTCAGGCTGATATAAAGCTTAGATTCTGTAGTTTTATAAAAAAAGTTACACAATGTTGAAGCGATTAAAGCAACACCATATTGTGTCCAAAATGCTTGTAAATACCAATGGATTAAGGATAAATAAATAGTTTACCTATCGATTTAAATTTTTCAATCTTAATTAATTAATTTATTTTTTAATTGGAAGACATTTTCGAAAACATCTGCATAAAAAGTACATGAATCCTGTTCGAAGCAGACACACAGGGAAAAAAAATCATTCAACCGAAAAAACAATTAATATTTCAAACAGCATATCACCACATATGCATTTATTATTTTTAGAAAAACACAAACTTTAATGAAACTGACAGTTAAAATTCTCATGAAGAAAAATTTTAAGCATTTCTTTGCAACTCAATTCGAAACATATTTATGTGTTAGTTCGAACATTTCCTATTTGTCTAAAGATAATCTTAAAATCAGATTCTCATTCATCAATCGAACATATCTGACTTAATTCGTCATATTTAAAATATGTTTAGATATATCTTGAAGAATTTCACTGAACTTTGAAATGGATGTAAATATACAGATACCGCACAGCACTCTTTTTAAAAACTTCCTAGCATTATAAGTATCGAATAAATAACTTAGTAGTCACGCTGAGATTAAAAATATGATTAAATTCCATTCCTTCTTAAGTAATCATGTTTATATTTCCGATTGGTATAATATATCTGATACAATTTCAAAAATATCTCAGCTAATATGAGATCGTGGGCAGATGTTAAAAAAAGTTATACCCAGATAATATATGCCCATACGTAAACATCGTAATTTTTGAAGCTTTGTGTACAAGTTATATCAAACATTCTATAATATTTTTCACGTGGAATACTAAGAATAGGTAACAATAGGTAAGGTCAAACGTTCGAAATCGCCTATCAAACGTGACATTTCAGTCACGTGATAATTTTTAATCTTGCTGCTTGTGTTGCCATAGTAACACAGGCAGAAATTAATCTATTATAAATTATAATTTAGTCAAGAAAGGCAATAAATTTCAGCACTGTATTACTTTTTAATTAAAAAACGTAAAACATATGTTGTATACTTATTTTATCCAACAAATCGTAATTTCGGGGATTCCTTTTCACATTTTTTAAATGGATCTGTATGTTTATAACGTGTTAAATCTTCCGTAATTTCAGAGTCATGTAACACATTTGAATATAACTGTTTGTTTTCTTTCTGGTTCGTAAAATATTTTTTTCACTCTGTGATTACAATCTATTTTTCACAAGAAATATTCTGCATAACCATAACTAAAATATCTTATTAACAAATCGCTGTAGCTAGAGCAATAAATAATATTTACTTCTATACCATATTATTCAGTGCCTATGGCAATGGGTTTTATGAGAGAAAATATACTTCAACAATAACAATAATAATGACAGCGAAGAAACTGGACTTTGCCATAAATAATTGAGACGAATATATTTATATACAACAACAGCATTGTCCTTGCTTCCATAAAACTATCTTCACAACTCAATAAAACATCTACCTCAAACAATAAAAATGACATTCCGATAATAAGAGACATCTTCCTAGGCAGGACACAGTATAAAACCTTGTGTAAGTTGTAGTTTAATGGGATTTGTAATGGGTCGTAATTATGTTTTATATCTAAATTAAAAAATAAAAATTAATTCTTGACTAACCCTTTTACTACTACGATTTTTCTGAGTTTTTGAGCTATATTTATACTATACATGACTATTTTTATCATATTGACTTTTTTGTATCAAAATTTTTAACAAAACTAAATCTATTCATTTAAGCCATTGAGTTGGACAATTATTTTGGCTCGAGGGTCACATAGTAGAAGCGAAGGATACCATAGGACAGGGATGGCGAACTAAAGGCACGCGTGCCATTGATGGCACGCGACACAATATTTTGGGCGCGCCACCGATAAAAAACGGCTTGAATTTTAGTTTAGAAACTATATTATTACAAGAATCCCCAAATTAAAACAATATCAAAGATTAAGATGTACTTGTGAAGCCAGACAAAGAAAAAGTTATTGAAGAATTTATTTTCATAATTGATCCTTCAATCAAGGAATTTTTAGTGAGATTTTTTTAGTTCAAAGAATTATCAAAAATGCTCAAGTTTATTATGTACCCTGATGAGAACTTCATTTGATAAACTAAATTTATTCCAATTCGATTGGCTGGAAATTGAAGAAGATGAAATGAAACTGATTGATTTCTAGTCCAATTTAATATGAATTCAAAAATTTATTGGAACAAGGGAAAAATTTGGAATTCATTGAAACAGAAAGATTAACAAGCAATATAAGTAAGAAAATGCCAGTAACGAAATTTTGGAAATAATGAATTCGATTCCAGACACATTTAACTATTTGAAGAAGCAGCTATTTTAACCATATTTTTATCGACTTTTATCTGGAAGTCATTATTTTTAGAGATGAACATTGTTAAAGACTCGCTTAGAAACTGTTTGGCAGATAACTCCAATTCAGCATGCATTCTGCTAAAAGTAACTTCTTATAATCCTAATCTAATTTATTTGTCACCTAATCTGCAACAACAGAAGTCACACTAATGTTGCTTAAATTTAATTACAAGTCTAACTAAAAGTACAAAATGTACTTTTTCGTAGTAAATAAAGAGTTTTAAATTGCTAGTATTTAGTTTTATTATTTTCCCAATAATCACAAGCCAAAATTATTGG